AGCAGGAGGGAAGCAGCAGTACAGCAGCAAGGAGAGCCCCCTCGGCCCCCCAGCCCCACACACGGTGCTCAGGGCTCTGGGAAGAGCAGCCGTGGGGCTGGGGATAGGCACATGTGGGGGCTCGGGGGGAGCAGCCACAGCCCCACGGCAGCCGTGGCGCAGAGCAGTGGGGGTCCCACCGATGCTCAGGGAGGGGGGGTCCGTCCGCAGGAGGGTGCAGGGTGGAGTTAATCAAAGCCGTGCCAGTCGCTCTGCTCCGAGTCGTACTCCAGCTCAGCCCCCACGCAGCGCACCCCGTCCAGCAGCATCGGGGTGCCGTGGTGTCGGTCTGCGGGGCGGGGGGGGGCAATGGGAACGGGCACGGGGGGCACATCCCATTCACTGTCCTCCCATCAGCATGGGGGAGAGCTGGGTCTACTCATGGGGTTGTACTGGGAAGGCATAGCTGCCAGGTCTACCCATTGGGTTGTATTGGGAGGACACAGCTGCCAGGTCTACCCATTGGGTTGCACTGAGGAGGTGCCATGCTTTCAAAAACCAACCCACGCAAAGCCCACAGAAGTTGTGCTTCCCAGACCCCACCAAAGCCCCGGACACGAATCCCAGATGGATGCCCTCAGCCCTTACCCATGACACGTGCTTGCACCACCACCTTAAGGCAGGAGCCATCTCCGGTCTCACTGGCCAGGAGCATCTCCTCCTTCAGCACACCCTCCTTGTGAGCCGTGTACTCACACCTCACACTGTAGCCTGGATACGAGGAAATACAACCACAGAGATGTGGCACTGGGGGGAGATGGTGAGCGGGCACAGTGTGTGGGGGGGAATCTCAGAGGTGTTCTCCAACCCCAGCACTCTGCTGGGGGTCACCCCGTGCCCATGGATGGGCAGGGATGGGGTTGGGGTCTTTACCTTCCGGCACCGCAGTGACACTGAGGACTTTGAGGTTGGGGTTGGGGAGTGGCAGAGCACACACGTCCCTCCCCAGCCCCTGCAATGGGGGCAGCAGGAAGGTGATCTCATACTTGTGCAGGATCTTCAGGAAGCCGACCTGGAGGGGCACAGTGGCTCTTGGGACCGAATCCCCACCCCACAGCCCCTCCCGTGGTGTAAGGACCCCCGAGAGCCATCAGCCCCGGGTGTAGGGACCCACTAGGGGAACCTCCAGCAGCCACACAGCGACCCCAAAGGCAGCGGTGCAGAACCCCGTGGGGACAGCAGGGGACATCCCTCAGCCTGGGTGATGTGAGGACACCAACCCTGTAATGTGAGCGCAGCGACTGTGCCACCAGGGCCTGGGCACCGTGCGTAGGGCACACGTGGCACCCCCAGCACCCACAGCCACTGCTGAGTGACTGCTGAGCTGCGGCCCCAAAGGGGATTTCGCACCACCCTGCTCCACGTGGCACCACGGAGCCCTTTGTTTCTTGAAGGAAGGGGTTGGGGCTCCATGGTGCAGCCTTGGGGACACCCGGCCCCCCGCTCCTCCCCTGCCAGGACCCCGCAGCACAGCACCGCTCCCCACACCCCTGCCAGGACCTTGACGAGGACGTGGCCGTCCCTCTCCTGCGTCACCATCACGGCCGAGTCTCTCAGCTTCTCATCGAAGTGGACGTGGCCGGGGTTCCCCTCGCTGGGTTGGCTGGGGGCGAAGCGCACGGCGCCCGCCTTGGCCTTGCTGCCTGCGTGGGGATTGGGAAAACAGCTCCTCCAGCAGCACCCCGACGACTCAGCCACCCCCAGGGGCACCAACGGCACACAGGGGGACCCCTCTCCAGGCTCCGCTCGGGGGAGGACCAAAGCAAGCAGCCCCCAAAGTGCCGCCGCGCTGCAGTGGAATGCCGCACCCAGATCCCCATTGTGCCCAGATCCCCATTGTGCCCAGGAGGGACGGAGCCCCCCGGAACCAAAGCCCCCTCCCTGGAGTGGCCGCCCGCCCATCTGGCAGCAGGCAGTGAGCAGATTGCCTCCCGCTTAAAGAAAAGGCTCTTTGTGCTGCAAACGGCGGCGATGCAGATTTAACAACTCGGCATCGTCGGGGTTGGCAGGGAGTGCTGAGCCCTGGGCGGGCAGAGGGGGAGCGGGGAGGGGATGGGGACCCCGATGCAGCCCCCCACCCCAACACGCAGCTGCGTGTTTGCAATGTAATATAAAGCCCAGGGGGGCACAGAGCGTGGCACGAGGGCTGCCAAGGTGGCCAAGGTGCCAGCGTGTCTGTGGGGATGCGGCCACGGGGAGCCATTGGGGAAGTGCCACCCAGCACCGGGTTTGTCCCCACAGCCCCCAAAAGCATCCGAATACCCAACGGGGGGCACAACCCGAACGGCTGGGCAGGGCTGGTCGGGGTCGTGCCAGCACTGAAACGGGATGGGGGTGTGATGGAACCACGTGCCCTGAGCGCACCGAGCGGCACCGAGTGCCAACTGCACCCCCTGCTCCAGCAGTGCGTGGGGCAGAGCGGAGCCACTCAGGGCTGTTCTGTCCCACCCAGGGCTCAGGGACTGCAGGAGCCCCACCAGCCCCCCGGGTGCCAACCACCCTCCCATGCCCCACAGGCAGCACACAGCAGGCATTGCCACTTCGCATCCAGAGCCACGGTGCAGCCCAGCACCGAGTGCCACCCTCCGGCACGGCGTCCCCAAGCGAGGGGCTGCCCCAGCACAGGGGGGTCTGCCCCCTCCGAGGGATTTTGGGGCACAGAGGCCCCCCAGAGAGGACGAAGCCCAGCCCCGGCGAGCGCTCTGCCTTCAGGCGTCACCTGCAAGCGGTGCCACCGAGCAGCAGGTGACACAACCGCGGTGCCACCCTGAGGGGCAGCGGGGCGCAAAGGAGCAGCAGTGACGCCCCAGCCCGGCGGGGGGGGCAGCGTGGGGACGCAGCGCTCGCTCACCTTTGTTGGCTGCAGCCATGGCTCCGCCGTGCTCGCTCAGCTCTGGGCTGACCGTGGGGCTCAGCGGCGGCTCCGGGCCATGGGGGGGGGTGGGGGGGGGGGTGCACAGCACCTGGGGGAGGGGGGAGGAGAGTGAGGGGGGGCACCGTGCCTCAGTTTCCCCACGTGCCCCACGCTGGAGCGCGCCGGCAATGGGGCACGGGAGCGTGGATCTCGCGTTGCTCCCAGCACCTGCAGCACGGATTGGGGGAGGGGGGATCCTCCGTGCGGGCCGTGGGAGCAAAGGGGCCACGGAAAGGGACTGCGACCCCCAGGCAGCCCAGCCCTGAGCCCCACACCGACCCCACGGAGCCCGCCCTGCTCCGGCCCAGGGGCAGCAATGGGGGCACGGCGGCTGCGGGGAGGGCGGCCCATAGGGGTGGGTGGGGGCAGTAATGGGAAAAAAGAGAGAAAAAAAAAATGAAAAGAAAGAGGAAAAGAAAGGAAACGGGGTAAGAAAAGAAGAAGGAAAGGGAGAAATAAAAAAGGGGGAGAAAGGGGAAAGAATGGGGAGAAGAAAAAAGAAGAAAGGCAAAAAAGGGGAAACGTGAGAAACGATGCGAGTGGGGGAATAAAAGAAAAACAAAAGGGAGGAGAAAGGAAAAATAAAGGAGGGAGGGAAGAATAAGAAAGGAATAAAAGCGAAAGAAAACGAAAATAAAGGAAATGGAAAAAAGAAGAAGAAGAAGAAATGCAGGGGCGATGCCCCAATAAATGCCCCAATAAATGCCCCAATAAATGCCCCAATAAATGCCCCAATAAATACCCCAACAATTCCGCGCCGCTCCGCGCCCTCTCACCGCCGCGTCCCGGTCGCTGCCCGCTTCCCACTACCGGGACCCGCCCCCGCCCTCCTATTGGTCCGTCAGAGGTTCGGCCACACCCCCCGTGTTTCCATTGGTCCGCCGCTCGGCGGTCACGCCCCTCCCGCCACTCCCATTGGCTCCGACTCCCCAGCGTCCCTCCGGCCGGGTCGCAGCCGGTGGGCGGGACTGACGGACGGGGGCGTGGCGAGAGGGCGGCAGCCAATGAGGAACGAGTGGGCGGGGCATCGGGCGGCAGGTGGCGAGCGGGGGTCCCTCCCCGGGCGGCGCGGTTGCCGTGGGAACGGCCCTCCGAGGCCTCGGCTGCGGGGCTCCGTACAAAAATAGCGGGCTGGGAGCGGGCGGGAAAAGCGAAGCCTCCACGGGCCGCCAGCGGCCACATTTGGCCCCGCCGCGCTCAGGCAGCGGCACCCCTGGGAGCGGCTCCCTCCTGCAGCGCACGTCCGCAGGCGGGGAGGGGATGGGGGGGATGGGGGGACACGGAAGGCGTGGAGGGGTTGGAGGGGCATGGAGGAGCACGGAGGGGTTGGAGGGCACGGAGGGGCACAGAGGGGATGAAGGGGCATGGAAGGCATGGAGGACCACAGAGGGGATGGAGGGCATGGAGGGCACGGGGGTATGGAGGGGCATGGAGGGTACAGAAGGGCATGGAGGGCACAAAGGGGCATGAAGGGCATGGAGGGGATGGAGGAGCACGGTGGGCATGGAGGGGACAGAGGGGCATGGATGGGATGGGGGGCATGGAGGAGCATGGAGGGCACAGAGGGATGGGGGGGATGGGGGCACAGAGGGGAAGGGGGCCACAGGAGGCACGGAGGGGCATGGAGGAGATGGAGGGGCATGGAGGGGGCACGAGGCCGCGAGGCTCCAGCCCCGAGTGCTGCAGGGAGGCCGCGGGGGCTGCGAATGCACACACCGACGTGCAGAACGCCTCCGTGCTTCACCCCCAAAGGAAATAAAAAGAAAGGCAATGAAAAGAAAGGCCCCGCTGCCTCCACAGCCCCCACGCGGTGACACCAGGCGGGGTAAAGGCTGTTTTGCACACAGGGCCGCGTGTTCCACCGCCAGAGCCACGGCACGCGGGCTGGGATTTCCTCCGAGCTTATAAACAACAGCTTGGGGAGGGGATTACGGAGCAGCTCCCGCAGGGCCCCGTGCCGCCCTGTGCTCCTCACGGCGGGGCTGACACGGAGCCGGGCGGCGCCGAACACGGAGCTCCACGTCAGGATGGTGGCTGAGCGAGCCTGCGCTCACTGCTGCTGGGGCCGGGCTTGCTGCAGGCAGCGGCTCAGGTCGTCGATCCTCATGTCCTTGAGGCGCAGCAGCTGCTCCAGCCTTCGCACCTTCATCTGTAGGATCTGAGTGGGGTGCGGCCCTCAGCTGGGCCCGCACTGAGCCCCGCTCGTGTGCCCCCACCTGCAGGAGAACCCCCCGACCATCGGGTTTGGGGCCTCAATTCCTGCTCCCACATCCAGCAAAGCGTCCCCAGAACGCGGCTTGCCTGGAAGGACGGGGATGGGGAGCAGCTGGGGGCCAGGGATTCACACAAGCGATGTGGACACGTGTCAGGGATCCGGGGCACGGCCAGGAGGAGAGGATTGAAAGGGAAAGCTGCTCTCCCAGCTGGGAGCAAGACGTGGGCCATCTGGACACCAGCGAGGCCACCTCCAGCCTGGCACGTGCCCAGGGCTGCCACCAGAAGGGTGACCTGGGAGGCTGACAGCACTGAGCAAACATGGCAGTGGGTGCCCAGCGTTGCAGTGGGGGCGGTGGGAGGCACGGGGAGCTGCCGCAGGGCTCACCTGGATCGTCTCCTGCGCCAGGAGCAGCGCCTGCTCCCTCTCTGCCAGCTGCAGGCGGAGGGCAGCAGCGTCACCCCCTGCGGCCGGGGCACAGCACTGGTGGCTCTCGTTCCCCCTGGGCAGGAAACAAAACACCGGGATGGTGACCAACCCCTTGTGCAGTGTGATCACGGCCCACGGAGCAGCCCCTCGTGCCGTGCAGCTCCTGGGCACACCCAGCTCCTCTGCGTCCCCATGCCAGGGTCTGTCCCTCTGCAGGGACCCCCAGGAGCAGCACAGCAGCACAGCAGCACTCACCCAACCGCCGTGGGGGTCTCCTGCGCGCAGCCCCCTCCTGTGCTCCTCGCCTTCGAGCAGCCTGTCAAGCACAGCAGTTACAATAGAATAGTTTGTTTGGAAGACCTCCCAACATCTCAGGGTCCCCGAGCGCTTCAGGGATGACCAAAAGTTATAGAGGGCGTTGTCCAAATGCTCTGTGTGCGCACAATGATGGACCCGGGGCACCAACCACCTCTCTGGGAAGCCAGTTCTACCACTGGACCACACTCACAATGAATACATGTTTCCTAGTGTCCCATAAAGCTGGATGCAGCTTTATGTCATCGCCTCGCACTCTATCATCAGCTCCCACACATCAGCACCTCCCTCCATTAGCACAATTTACATCTCCCTCAATTAGCACCTGCCCCACCCCAGTAGCTCTGCCCCACGGCAGCCCCAGGCTCTGATAGCAGCACTCACTGGGCAGGAGAGGTGCCCCAGCACAAGCCAGGGCTTGCAGCACTCCTCCCTGGGGTACAGCAGGGAGACAGTTTGGGTTGTGAGCATCCCAAGGTGCCACGTACCGGCCTTGCCCGTCTCCAGGTAGCTGATCTCCTGTGCTGCCTGCAGGCCCAGCTCCTGCAGAGAGGAGAACTCACATCGTGCCTGGCTCCTCGCTCCCTGGGTGAACCCGCAAGCAGCCCCTATGCAGGGAGGCGGCCCTGATGCTGGAGGAGGGAGAACAGGGGAGCGCAGCCCTCCTGGAGCAGAGCGGGGAGCCAGTGGGGTGTGGGAGCTTTGTTCCCACGGTGGTGGCTCAGAGCAGGGGGTTCCCAGTGCAGCACGGCGCTGGTTACCGCCCAGAGGCAGGGCTGGGATCAATCTGCCTGAATTCCTGCACGGCCACAGCCCTCCCCATGGTGAATTCCTGCTCTGACCCCAGTGCTGGGGCAGGCAGCCCAGCCTGCTCCAAGCCTGCGTGGTCGGTGTCCTCATCTCACACTGCAGGGACCGGGATCCTCTTGGGCTGAGGGTTTGGTTGGGGCAGGGGAGGAGGCCGTCCTGGAGCTGTGCGCCCAACCCAGCTGCCTTTTCCGCTCCCCTTGAGGAGTATCACAGTAAGGAAAGTGATGGAGTCAGCACCCCTTTGCCCTCCCCCACCCCAGCTAATGGCAGTGCCTCCAGGCCTGCCCAGGCCAGTTCATGGCTGCAGAGTGAACGGGGACATGATAGTTCCCATAGCAACGCTTGGCTGCCATCTGCAGCACTGAGTCTTGCCAGCCCCGCTCCCCACAGGATCCTGCCCCAGCTCTGCCCTGCTGACCTGCCCCGGGCCAGGCACTGCCTTGACCTGCTTCTGCTTCTCCTCGATCTTCTGCCGCAGCAGCAGCAGCACCTGCTCTACCACACCTGGCCGGCACTGCACGATCTGCCGGATCACCTCGTTGGGGACGGAGAAGTTCAGTTTGCTCAAAACCTTCCTAGAAAATGATCCAGATCTGCATCCCAGAGGGCACAGAGGCAGGCTTCCTGCTGCCCACCGCCCGCTGCTGCCCAGCTCCGCTCCAGCAGTGCCGTCCATCCTGGTACCTGTTGAGGTGGCCCCAGTTGGCCAACTTCTGCGGCGTGGAGCTGGCGGGCACGAAGCTGTGCAGCTGCACCATGGCAGGGAAGAAGAACTTCACCACCTCGGCCACCAGCACTGGGGAGGAGAGGAGGGGCCGCTGGGGCACCAGGACTCGCAGCACCCAAGGGCTGGCCCTGCCCCCGCAGCCCAGCTTCCCCCAGGGCCCGGGCTTCACTCCCAGGCCACAGCCTGGCCCCAAACCCGGACTCCTCCTGAAGCCCAGCCTTGACCTCTAAGGTCTGGGCTCCCCCAAAGTCCAGCTCTGGGCCCAACTCCCTGTGAGGCCCAGCATTACCACCAAGGATCACTCCTGAGGCCTGGGCCTGCCTTGAACCCCGAGCCTGGCAATGAGGCCTGGGCCTGGCCCCGAGGGCTGGGTTCCCCAAGGCCCAGCCCTGACGCTGGGACCTGGACTCTCCTTTAGGACTGGGCTCCTCCCAAGGCCTGGGCTCCTCCTAAGGCCCAGCCCTGACCCCCAGGCCTGCACTCCCCCTGAGGCCTGGGCCTGACCCCGAGGCCTGGACTCCCCCTGAAGCCCAACCCTGACCCCCAGGCCTGGGTCCAACCCTGAGGCCCGCACTCCCCCTGAGGCCTTGGCCTAACCCTGGGGCCGGGGCCTGACCCCAAGGCCTGGGCTCCTCCTTAGGCCTACTCCTGACCCTGAGGCTTGGACTCCCCCCCCGCCGAGGCCCAGCCCTGCCCCGAAGGCCCACGCCCCCCCCAGCCCCGCACACCCCCATCGCTGAAGTCCCGGGCGATGTTCCTGCGCGGCCGGGACAGCGGCACAGCGTCCACCCAGCGGTACAGCGCCCGCAGGCTGCCCTCCCCGGCCGCAGGCTGCCCACCGCCTGCAGCAGCGGCCATGGCGCCCACCCCTCTGCCATGGCAACGGGCCCGCGGGGCAGGCTGGGAGCGCGACGCCGCGTTGCCTGGTAATGGGTGGCCCTGGGGGAGCGGGGAGGGGGGAAGAGAGGCCTGGAGATATTGCAGGCTTACGGGGGAGAATGTGAGCAATGGGGACCGAGGAGCCTTCAGTGATGGAGGGGGAATCTGGAGGAAGCCAAAGTAATTTGGGGCTGGGGGTGCAGCACCTGGGGAGGGAGGCCTGCGTGTGGGACGCCAAGGGACTCCCAACCTCCCACCCCTAGGCCCTCGTTAATTACAGTAATCGTTATGGCAGCCCTCACTGTGTGGTCATTAAAGCGAGCCAGCCCACTCCAGCCCCCTAGAGGTGGGGGTCTGGGGGGTCCCCATATACCGCCCTGGGGGGGCACAGGCAGCACTTGCCCAGGTCCTGCTGCAGGCATGGGCTCAGCACCCCTCCATCTGCTTTGCCCCCCCCCCATTTGTTGGGGTTTGAGGATGAAGGGGGCTGAGCCGGAGACCCCTCCTCTCCTCTGAGCCCATCAGCGTAGCATCGGGGCTGTCAGAAAGCGCTGCCCCCCCCTCCCCACACACACAGCCCCTGACCCCAACAGCCCCTGCAGCCAGGGCTGGAAGCAATTACAGGGCCAGGAGCCCCTCACCCCTGCAGCCCCACATGACCCCCACCCCCAGGGGAAGTGCAGGACCCACCCCCACCATGCTGGATCCAGCTGCCGTGGGGCTACGTGTCCCCAGCTGGGGGGGGGGGCCGCCCCTGCTGCCCCCCACCCTCCTGCTGTGGGTTGGGGTCTCTGCTTGCACACCCCCTTTTATTTTCCCCTCTGAAAAGACAGAATGGGGCCGGGGACAATGGATGAAAGCGGCCACCCAGGAGCCAGCGCCTCCCCCAGCACCGCTTTGCATCAGAAAGGGGGGTTTTGGGGGGGGGGGAGGAGGCTGCAGACCCTCCCCACACAGACAGACAGACAGATGGCCACGCTCTGTGCCCGTTGGGGTCCCAGCAGCCCCGGTGACGCGTGGTGATGGTGGCACGTGGCGGGGGCAGCGCTGGGGGCTCAACCGAGACTCCACTGGGAGAACTGTGGGGGGAGGGGGCTGGGGTCCGTATCCAGACCCCCCAGGTCCCATCACCCACGTGCACCCCCCTGCCATCTGCTTCTCCCCCCAGACCACACAACCATGACACACGCATCCGTGTGTGTCCCCAGCCATCCGTACCCCACACTGACCCACCCCCCTGCACCCCCCAGCCACAGACACC